TCCGGTGATCTTCAAAGCCATTACCCGCCGGTTTGGGGAGCGGACCATCGACCGGTTTGCTTCCCATCGGAATTCCCTCTGCACCGCCTTCAATTCGAGGCACCACGAGCCCCATTCTTTGGGGGTGGATGCCTTCCTCCAAGAATGGACGGGCACGGCCAACTGGGCGAATCCGCCTTGGTCGTTGCTTCCGCGTCTCACGGCATTCCTGCGCCAACGGCCGGCGGTGGAGGCGGTGGTCTTGGCGCCGGATTGGCCGTCGGCCATGTGGTTTCCGCGGCTCCGGCGCATGGCCTCGGCGGAGCTCTTCATTCCTCGCCGCCCGGAGATGTTCCTCCCGGGCGATCCGTCGATTCCGGCCGTCCTGTCTCCCCCCCGGTGGAATCTCCGCGCCTTCCACATTCGGCCGCGGAGGGGGGATCCGACTCTGGGCGCCTGACGCCCTCTTCCCGATCGGCATCGCCGGTGGCCGACCCTCTCCCGGTCGAGGAGATGCCCGCTGATCACCCGCTGTTTGGCTGCGAGGTGGACGGACTGTCGGCGTCCGATCGGTCTTGGATGCAGGCCGAATTTCTTTCCTTTTATACCAAGTCAACCCGCCGATCCATGCATGCCAAGTTCACCCGCTTTGCTACGTTCTGCGAGGCGCACAACTTGGCCAGCCTCCCCGCGCGGCCTTCGACGATCTACCGCTACATCCGGTTCCTGCGGGAGGAGGGACGTGTGGGCATTCGCAGCCTCCCACAGTATCTGGCTGCAATTTCGATGGTCCACCAAGCAATGGGCCATCTGGACTTCTCCGCCTTCGACCCCATCACCCGGCGCCTTACCCGCGCGTGGAGGCGGCAAGAACCGGAGCCGGCCCATTCTCATCGGCCGGTTCTGACGGATCTTCTGCGGAGCATCCTGGACCTTGGCTTGACGACTTCCGATCTGTTGCTGCTCCGTGCGGCATGTTCGGCGACGCTGGATTTTCTTTTCTTCAACCGGGCGCAAAGTGGCCATCTCGTTCTCCTTGACGACCTCCGCGTGGAGAACGGCCTCCTAGTTTTCCGGGAACGCCGGACCAAGCTTTCGGCTTCTACGGACCCGCGTATCCGGTGCCGGTCCTGGCCTTCGGACGGCGCGCCATCCGTCATCGATCTCTTCCTCCGCTGGTCGGCGGCTCGGGACAAGGCGTGGGCGGACGCTGGCGCCTCCCCCACCCATTTCTACACGCTCCCTGGTGAGCAGGATCCCTCCGCGCGGACGGTTTCCGGCTGGTTTCCTCTGCTGCAGCGCGCCTTTCCTTCGCCGCCCCCGGAGCCCTTCGATCACCACGGCCTGCGCGGTGGGGACGCCAGTGCTTGCTACGCCTTGGAGGTGCCTGAAGGCCGCATCCGCGCCTGGGGGGAGTGGCGCAGTAACGTCATGTGGAGGTACATTGACGTGTACCGGCTGCCGTCCGAATGGGACTTTCGTTTGTTTGGCTGGATGGCGATCACTGCCCGCGACTTGTAGTACACGTACACGCACAGTACGGGCATATCTTCTGCCCCGGAGGGGCGTCATCCGCCCGTGGGTGACTAAGGCATGACCACGCCTTCGCTCTTGAGGAGCTGCACCGTGCTCCAGTGTGAAAGGGCACATTTCAAGTGGGTCGCCGAACGGGTATTGTATTAGTGAGGTGATGGACACCAAACTGTGTGAATGTAATGTATTGTCGTATGGGGAACACGGGGGGGGTTGAAGGAGACCGGTATTGCAGAAACATTTTTATGCGCAAGAACGTTAATCTGCGAAAGGGGCTATTTTAACGGCTGTGTGTACATTTTTACGGCTCGTTGTGACACATAGGTTACACGATGAAAGTCGCGTACAATGATCAGTCCTCCGCCCCCCTGAGCACCCGCAACACAGCGTCCACTTCGCACTCGGCAAGGAGCACGACGGCTTGGAACAAAAGTTCGTTTTCTGCCAATTCCAGAGCGTATGCCTGCCATTCCCCAGACTCCCGAAGGCTGTATGTACTGTCCTTATGTACACGGGGTTGTATTTACGTTCTTTACTCGTTTTTACGAGTCAAAACATAAGAATTATTTTACGCATAAAAACGTAAATACTATCTGCGTTTCTGGCGTAAATAACAAGCCTGCCATAGCTCGGGGTGTGGCTGACATTAATGTCATGAATAGTATTTTAGCATGGTTATTGATAATATTTTAGTTTAGCTGACAATAAGTTTGTTCGGTTGTGGTTGGCAGCGCGTGGGCGGTGGCAACAAAGGAATCGCTGGCGCCACAACACAGTGGGGTGCGCTTGGACGGCAGGGCCTACAATGATCCTCGTCAGCTGCCAGCACATAAAACGCAACGCCATATGTTAAGTCTTCATCAGATTTCCCCCATTCTTCGGGCACAACATCATTCCTTTTAGAGCATTGGAATTGCGGGCAGATACCATAGCTTCACTTGGTCACATAGCTTGGCAGTAAAACAAAGCAAGAGCTCCTTGCTGCATTGTTTCCAAAGGCTCGGAGGCTCAGACCAATTTCAAATCTATTCATCGCCTTTTTCGCTCAAATAGCCAAATAGAAAAGTATCCACAACAAGGGAGTAAGCGGTGGATATATCCAATACCACAAGGGCGTTATCTAAGGGCCCCCGCGCTATCCTCCGTGATGTACGGTACTGTACTTTGAATTTTTTGGCCCGTCCTTTGCACAACTGCCCAGGTGGCATGCTCGAGCTCTCCTTTTCAGAAGGCCATCGGCAAAGCTGTGCATGTATCCAATCAGCTGCAGAAACGCGCGGATTATTGCAGAAAGGCAATCGCTGTATTTCAAAATCGATTTACACGCCGGCCGCATTCCGTCGCCCGTAGCCATTGTCACTAGGGAAGAAACGGCCAAATAACACGTGTTCAAACGTGTACAAAATTTACGGGTTTGTGTTTTTTGGTGTTGTTAGCGTGCAGAACTTTGATGAAATGTGTTTTATGTGTGTTCGCAAAAATGTTGTTTGGCCCTTTTTCCCTAGTGTGTCTGATACCTTTTACCTGACGCGGTTTCGGATGACAGTGGGCATCCAATGTCCTGGCCTGTCCAATCACTGATTCCTTTATTCTTTCCAGATGGTTGCTAGCCATATATGGCAGCCATGCGTTGGAACATGCTCCGAGAACCACTGATGTCAGTTCCTTTGCTTCAAGCACCTTATCCTTGCTGGGTAATAAATTTTGGGCTATAGGATTGCAGGGCTACTTGACCAATTGGCAAATCTCTCACTCGTTTTGCGGAAATTGCGATTCCCCACCGCAACAGCACGGCAGGTGCACGCCGTAATCTGCCAGCGGCAGGCCAAGGGCGCGATGTTGCACACGCCAAGCGCTGGCAGCGCTTCGTCGCGAGTTTTGCTCGTTGAAGGAGCTCCGCCTGGAAGTGTTCCTCTGCACGCCATGTTTTCCTGTGTGCCTGCGCGCTGTCACCATGCATGTCCACACTGCCTGATCGGCTGTCTGCTACGCTTTCGTGCTCCACCCCCTGCTTCCGCAGTACTGTCGGTCACCATACATTGGGAACAGTCTCGCCAAGCGGCCAACGCTCTTCCAAGCAGAAATGTAAATCTCGATCAATACTAGATAGTTCTGGCACTGATTTATCACAATGGCAGACGCGCACGCCATTGTTGCAGTGTGGGGCTTTCATGTACATGTGCGCAGCAAAGTAACGGGGCAGAGCAGGGAGCCGCCATTGTCTTGATTCTTTTCTATTCAAGTTATTTGGACGAGGTTTGTATGAGGTGAACTTCCTTCAATGTGTTGCACAACGTCACAGGCAGCAAGGCACCTTCTGCCGCCGATTTAGTTCAGTGGCTGTTTAGGACGGGAAACCAGCTTTCTCCAGGTCATTAACAAGTCCGTTTGATCATCTTGGCATTTCACGTCTGTCAGAACACCCTGCCAATAGCATACTTGTATGAAAAGGTGTCCGTCCTTGTGCTGCATCGCGGTCGCCTGGAAATTCGGTTGGCCGTTCTTCCCAAGGAGCCACGAAGAGTCACTTGGACTCAAACAGCGCCATCCCATTTAAATTGACTCTCGCAAGACAGAAAAACTGTCCTCCAGGCTCGCGAGCCAGCAGCGTGCTTGGAGTCCTGCCTCGGGGAGGGGTTCATTGAGGCATCCTTGGCGAGCATCAGCCTGGCGCCGGTGATTTAACGAGTACGACGACACGGCGCCCAAGCGATTGTTGTGCAGGTTCATGCCATTCGAGGTGCACAGCATTTGTGCGGTTCAACAAATCAACGAAGCATCAAGTTTCTGCCAGCATGACACAGGAACGTCGATGGCCTCGACGACAGCTGTGCTGCCAGCAACGCGAACATTGTGCGCCCTCTGGAGCAGTTTTCGCCACCGCATTGCCGGTGGCAATTTGCCACCCCAAAGGGAGCGGAGCCATCAAGCAACTTCATTCCAGTTGTGCACTTGGATGTCGCAATAGCGGCATCCCGTCCTGAATCGCCGTGCCATTAGTTGAGGGCAAATTGGTTTCACCTGCAAGAGATGAAGAGGAAACGGATTGAGGTCGAAGGACCAAACAGTGCTCTGGTCGGGAAAGCATTCGTTTTCCGTTCAGCCATCTGCCGTGCCACACCGGCCACACATGCATATGCACGACGTGGCCAATATATACAAGCAGTCCACCACACACACGCTCCCAGATCAGCAATATGCAAAAACAGGTGTCGATTTACAGTTCGCTGGTGACTTCAAAGGGGTGTTCGCCCCCTGTCCTGTCCCTTCCCTTCCTATACAGTCCTGCTTGAAAGGCATCACATCCAACACTTGTCGTGCAATAGGAGCCTACAAACTTCAGTGAATCAATCCTCGCACTAAGAAGCCTGTCATGGCTCTGGACAAGTCATGCACGACGCGTGCACAGCCATCCACAACCCCTAAACGGCCAACGTCCTACTGACGGCCACATCCTCATGCAGATCAACATCTGGACCAGAAGGGTCTCAGGTTGGCACATTGGAGTAGGCGCCCATGAATAGGAACAGTTGGTTTTCGTTGTCGCGGATGAAGAATGTGAAAGGGCGGTCGGCAGTGAAGGTTTCTCGCAGAAAGTTGAGGGGCCTGATTGCTGCGGAGGTCGCTGCAGAAGCGGTGGTTCCTTCTTCATTCACCTGCAAGACCGGCAGCAGCGGCGTTGGGGATGCATATTGCAGCGATCGCCAAACTTCCCAGGTTACACAATCAACACATTCTCCTCTTGAATCCTTATGCATGTCACCTGGGCACAGGGATCGCCCTTGATCCGCGCCAAAAGGTGCCCCACTCTTCGCATTGACTGAACGCTTCCACCAACCAGGAGGCCAAGCTTGGTGGATGGCAAGCGCAAATGAAATCCGATTCTGCTCAGAAAGACAGCAGTGATGCGATTTGTGCTCATCTGCGATCTGCTGTATACACCCGCACATGAGGCACTTCACTGCTGTCATGCCATTCATAGGCCCTCACCAAAGTTGCCACTGCCATCATGCACATTCGCAGACTCTGGAGCAGATCGGTGTGCAACAGTGCTCTGAACACAGCCAATGCTGGGTCCAGCTATTGACTGTGTTTCAACCCCCCCACCCTCACACCACCCCCACTGGATAAATCACTGGGAATAGGCAGCAACGTGCTGCCACAGCGTGCACTTGACAGCAGGGACAAACACCTTTGCTGTCAGCCAATTTGCCTGCAAAGATGTATCGCTCTCACCAGAATTCTGGCTTTGTGCACCGCTGTGTCGACCTTCAGGGGCACGTCAGAAATGGCGTCTAGTTCAGCCTCATTTGTGAACACCCGTTGTGTGCCAAGCTCAGGCATAATCAGCGCCAGATCATAGCTCTCCTCAAAGGCAAACCGCGGGATAGTGACAGCTGTCTCGAGTTTGTCAAAGCCAGGCTTGTCCAGCGTGGTGGCCAGTTGATCAGCCGCAGTGTCCACCAGGAAGCTCGACTCGGCGCCTTCTGGGCTCAGCACAAGGATCATACTGAACCTGTTGTTCACATAGGGGAGCTCCAAAACCTGGAGGAGCGGTTGGCAAGCGGAGGCTCAGCTTCAAGAGTTCTTGCTGTTCTGGATTTGGGGCGAGGAGTGAGCTGTGTTGACAGCCTTTCAAGCAAGGAAACTCTGAGAATTGCAGGATGGCCGCAAACGAGGGGGCTCACTTTGCATTGTGCACAGAATTCTGATCCCTAGACATAGTACGAGCTGGGCAGCATGCATGCGATCATGGGCATTTGTATTGCGTAGGACTGAGCACGATCAACAACCAGGGTTTGCCAGCAAGAGAGAACTGCTTCCACTCAGGGGATTCGTCCCAAGGGACAGCATGCGCAGCTCTTTCACACCTGAGAAAGGCAAACTTGATGTCTCCAAATGCAGTAAATGGGGAATACAGCAGTGAACAGAGCAAGTGGGAGCATGACATGCCCTTGTGGGACAAAGTATTGACATCTTCAATATCACCAAAAATTTAGCCAGCTAACTGGGCTTGTTTGATGGAGAATGCCCACAAACAGCCACGGTCCTGGCCACATCATCTGATGTCTGTCATGCATGCTACCATGCCCAGTTTGTTGTGGTTGGTACAGTCTTATTGAGCTTCTAAGGCAACGCCAGTACACAGGCATGCACTGTCACTTAGTGGTTTGCACTGTTCATGCATCCAACCTGGCCGCCCAAACCTCTGCTTGTGCATGCAACAATGCAACATCCTTATGGGGACTCAGAAGGGTCAACACGAAGTTGAACATCCACCACCACCACAAATGCATCCTAAGCCCAAGGGCACATAGATTGTGAATTTTCATGCACGACCCACCATCTTGGGAAGCTGTCCGGATACATGTCTGGATACATCCACCACTGCTTAGTGTGTGGTCGACTCTGGCCATTGGCTGTCTTCTATGCCTTGTTAGCAACAACAAGAAGGGTGCAGGCACCATATCCCAGCTCACCTGAGTATCCCTGTTGTACCTGAATTCCTGAGTCTGGGTCATCATTTCTGCTTGCGCCTCTCCATTGCTCCCAAAGAAAGTAGCATTCATAGTATTGTTCCGTTCAAACCTCAACTCCCAAGTTCCTTTGAAAAACAGGGCATTCACCAGCACCATCAAGGTTGAGCTGTCAAGCTGCCCAGGACTGATGAGGTCATCAATGAAGCCATTCGTTTGGTTGCTGACCCAGTCGTTGATCTGCCCCGTAACAATCGTGGGGTCCTCAAAGCCA